CAGTCTGAGTACAGTTGTTGCAGTCTGCATGATGACATCTTTAAACTGTATCCACTTTTCAGAACAGGTTCCTACAAGTGGTAAATTGCCAGAGATTTTCATTAAGTACATCTTGGAAATGTTGGACTTGGCCTGGGTCTTGCAGTCTGCCAATGTTGAATGACTTTCTGACAGTCCTTGGTTGCTTACAATGTAAAGGGGCTATGTGCAGGTTGAGGACCGACCGGACCAGCCTGTAATCTGTCCAGCACTCAGCAGCTCCCATGGGTCGGGTGATGGTGATGTCTTTTAGGTCGCACTGACGTATTATGATATAGTCAAGCAAGTGCCAGTGTTTGGACCTGGGATGCATCCAGGTAGTTTTGTACTTGTTTGCAAGTCTGAACATCGTGTTAGCGATGCACAGGTTGTGTTCAGCACATTTGTTCAGAAGCAGCAGGCCACTGCTATTTAGTTTTTCCACCCAATGTCTCCCAAGGACTCCACCACAGTTGTTGCTGTCTGTCCCCACCCTAGTGTTGAAGTTGCGTGGAATGACAAGTTTGTCACTGGCAGGGGTTGTTCTAATAAACTGGCCCAGTTCCTTGTAGAAATCTTCCTTGTCTTTGCCTGGACTCATGAGAGTTGGTGTGTAGGTGCTGACAATGTGATATACTGGGACCTGCTGAGAGGAAAATGGAACTTCACAACGTGTTCATTTATTCCAGTGGGTAGAGTAGAAATGTTCTTCAGCAGAGCAGTTTTGATTGCAAAATCTACTCTGTGAGTCCTGTTGTCAGCTGTGGTGTCCCTTTCCAAAAGAACGTATATCCACTCGCTGCTTCCTGTAATGAACCCTCGTTGGCCAGCCTGGTCTCACTTGAGTGCAGCACTGTCAATGCTATAATGGTGAAGTTAAGCTGCTATGAACATTGTTCGTCTTTCAGGCATTGACACCTTGTCTCTATCCAGCAAGGTGTGGACATTCCAGGCTCTGAAAATTAGTTTTCTTTTATTTGTTTTTCTTGATGGTCAACTGCTAAGGAGATGATCTGCCAGCCACGGTTAGCTAGCCAGATGTTGTGAGGCAGGCAATGTTTAGGATACCTTTTCTAACCCCCTCCCTCATGTGAGGATAGGCAGTGCTATCCTAGAAGGGCTGCCCAGCTGCCCTAGATGCTGCTGGACATCTCTGCTGCCCTGGGTACTGAGATGAATGACCACCGATCCAAGGCCACCCACGTGCAGGTTTGTGACTACAACTGCCATCGATCGTCTCCACCTGTTTCTTCGCCACTCCCTCATCACCACAGGACTCAACGAACTAGGTTTGGACTAAGATGATTTGCAGATGAATTGTAGATGAAGAAAAAGTACACAACAGTAACCTGCATGTGATGGTCACCTTTGGTCCCCACCTGGTGCTCAGTTCTCACCTGTGGTTCCAGGTAGAAGTACACATGCAGCGGCCACACCCCAGTAAACCATTTTGGCAGACAGGGCAAACCAGATGAGGGTAGCCGACGGGTCTTTGACTTTGGTGAGATAGGGGATTTTTCTGTCCCAGCGTGTGACAGACAAATCCCTTTTCTGGCCCTGGCAGACTGAGCAGAGGAGACTGATCAGTGGTCCAACGCTCAAGAAGGCAGATCCAGTAGGCGTTGTGGAGTGCTAAGAGCACAACAAGACACTTAGACATGGTGGTCATCCTCTGCAGCAGGAGAGGTCTCCAGCCATAACAGTTCTCCGTGCCACTGGATTAAGGAGAATGTGACTGCCCTGTGCAATGGCTGTTCCCGTTATAGAACAGATGAGATAACAACATATAGGAAAAACTTTGAACAAACTAACATGGCAGAAGCTATCCACTCTATACGGCACAGCTAGATAAGAGCGTTTATTCCGTATTAGAATAAAGCCACTTTAAGCAGCTGATTGCTCTCTGACAATATGAGGTGGAGACCCTCCTTATATCCACAATGATTTACTGTGGTTCTGAAAGGATATTTAGCTTTGTGCATTTCTGTTTTGGAGTTGGGTAACTGTTGACTATTCACCTAACTGACATTACTAACCTGAGGAACTGTATCTCCCAGCATAACTCCCATGCCCTCCTCCTCCTCTCCATTGTGCTTGGCCCTTCTTCCTCTGGCATCAGATAGACAGGAATGGTTGTTATTTCCTTTCCCCTTCCTTCAGTCTTCAATGCTGTTCTTTGGTCGTAGCTGGAAGAGCACCATTTTCCAGCTTCCTGTTCTACTTTCCAGAGGTACAATTGCTTTAGTCCAGGAATTCCAGAGGCAAAGCCTATCACTGCATCTCTGTAATGGATGGCAATGAGCGGGGAAGATTCTGGAATGGAACTTCAAGGTTGTCAGGAGGGGGGAGAGACATTCCCGGGCAAGCGCCTCCTCAGCCCACAGCAAGAGTGTGGGAAGATGAAGAGGATGAGGCTGGTCACTCCCTAGAGTCTCATGGGTTATAGCCACTAGTTGCTTTGGCATAGGTTTAGTCTGGTGAGATTTTGTCTATTAGGTGCAAGCTAATAAAGGAACTGAACTGTACTGGATTGCCTTGTTGCTGTTCTTGGGCTGAACCTGACAATCTCTTTTGTTTCTCATCCAGTCTTCTTTCTCCATTGCTGCTGGTATTTGGCGTTGCCTGTCTGTTGTGGTGGCAGCAACAGTTGCACCAATAGCGGCTGAGGAATCTGCCTGGGCCCTTCTGGGAGACTGCCCATCTCTTGTGGTGGCAGTTCATTCTTTCTCACTTGGTTCATGGTTCATTGTCAACCATTCTCCCATTGTCATGCTATCTGGTCCATCAGAGTAGCCATTTCTTTCTGAAACTGGAGCAAGACATTGGCTAACTGATCAATGGTCCCTGTGGCTCTGGGATCAGTATCCATCTTCCCTATCCTTGAGCTCTCCTCCCATAATGGCAGGAGTAAGAGAGAGAGAGCAATCAAGCTGTCAGATTCTCTGCTCAAACTCAGAAGCTTCCATGATTAAATAAGAAATTATTGCTTACTAGAATGAAACTAACATAAACCACTGATTGCCCTGTGTTAATCTGAGAATGCAGTTCCCTCTTTTGTCGAATGCTATTCAAATCCAGCACTTCATTTCTTCTGCCTTCCACACAGCTTTGTGGATTTTTTGCCTTGCAGATTTCAACCTTCAGTTGAAGGAACTGATATCTTGGCCCTGAGAAACTCCAGCTTCTAAAGTAAATCCACAAGAGTAGAATTAGCTATAAGATGAAAACAATCTTACAGTAAATATATTTTGCCCTTGATGAAGGTATGGTATTCCTGGCACAAGATATTATGGTATCCAAGGCAAAACAAAAAATGGTACCTTCCATAAATGATAATGATGATGACAGAGATGATGGCCATCAATGACATCTCCAGTATTTTTTTCTTAGAAGATTACCTTTCCTAAAGTGATAGGACAATTTTGCTTATTTAAAGCTTTCATTTAAAATAAAACATCATTTTAATAAATACAATCCCCCTCCCCCAACAGTTGGAAGATGATTAAAAAAAAATCCAAGATATCTTTTATTTTAGATGTAAAATAGTTAGTGAGTCAGCTCATGTGATTCTTAAAAAGGACATTGTGCTGAGATTTCTAACTCTCTTCCTGCTCTTTGAAAAAAACAAATGTAGATGGGACGGTGGCCTTTCCAAACTTCACAGCTGCAATTGTTTCAACAGATCACTGCTCAGGAGAAGCGAGATCCTGCGTAATGAAAACCAATCTACTAGAAGAGTTCCCAGTGCCCTTTTGATAAATTTAAAGTTCATAATATTAATCAGAATGTTTACAATGAGAACCAAGCAGGAGAATATTTTTCGCTTAAAAAGATTACGACTGGATTGGTAAACAGGATGATTTTGCTGACTGTGGTCTTAGAAAAGCCTATTAAACTTGTCCTTCTGCTCCGGCTACGAGACTGTATCACCTCTCCTGGATTGAAGTGCTGTCAACCAGCAAAGGCTATCGTGATTTCTATCTGCAAAACACCACCATTTATTGAGGTCCTTTATTGATAAAAAGTCTTTGGGTTTTCTTGCAAAAAGTTCACTAACTAGTGAGCTTCACAGATGGCAAACATTGTTCATCTCCTATACAGAGCGTGAAAAAGGGAGGGATGGTGTCTTTGGCCCCACCATTCAAATGTGTCTATAACCAGGGTCAAAATGCAATGTTGGTTCTTCCTACCCCTGCCCTCCTATCCCACATAACCTTTTAGCAACAAAAGGTTTAGAAAAGATATTTGAAATAGGATTCCTAAACCTTTCAGGCAGTGGGCTTTAACAGGGGACTAGAGAGGTTCATGGAAAGCCATGCTATCTATTACTAATTTTGATGGCTGTTTTTCTGCCTCTTGAATCAGGCAGTAGGCCTTACAACTGGTTGCTGGAAAGCAACAAGGGGAGAGATCTCTTGCTCTCTAGTCCAGGCTGGTGGGCTTCCAGATGTATCCAGGTGGCCACCGGGTGACTCCAAATGCTAGACATGATAGGCCTGGGACCTGATCCATCTTCAGGGCTCTCCTGATGTTCTTTGCACAGGAATGTTGACTCTAAATCCAACAATTATTTCACACACGCAATAGCTGTGCTACCTGTTGCTGAAACAAAAGCATAAATATTGCTACAGAAAAGACCTGAAACAGCACTGCAAACCTTTTCACTGGAGGATTACCAATAATTTTTGTAGAAAATCACTAGCAGATATTTTTGTCACATCTCTTTGGATCCAACCAAATATGTTACTTTGATACTTTGACAGTTTTTCCCCCCGTTGTCTCTCCCACTCTCAGAACACACATTGCCATTTTTTTTTTCTTTCTCCTCTCTGTCCTGTCTTTATTTTTAACTCATGAATTTCTGCCCAGTGCTATTATCATCCTCAGTGCAGAAAAGAAATGATATCTGTTGATGGTCAGTATTAAAACTGAAGTAAACAATAAGTAACATATCCTAATTCTAATCTCATCTCTAAAAATCATATTATCAGGAATACACTGGAATATTAATTAGGCCAAGATTTTTTTAATATATAAATCAAGATTATCCCATAATTACTGTGAACAAAGTTGCCATTTCAAATCTCCGCTGCAGACTAGAACACTGGATTAATTATGCCAGACTGCAGCAATAACCTTGAATTAAGGCAGCACAAGTTTCTATTTTAAAGGAACAATTGCCTTTCTGGTTGATGAAACCTGTCATCCCATCAGGTAACAGACGTGACCAGGAAAGAGAAAAGCGATAATGAGTCAATCCAAGCTGTTTGATACATTTCAAATCTTCCTCCCACAGAGTATAACTGCCACAAGCTACATCACCAGTCTGGTTCTTGAAAACCCGATCTCCTCCCTGATGGGTGAACGTGTCCCAAACACTGGGGCCTTTTCCATCTGCATCCCAGCCTCCTGATTAAAAACAAAATGATCGTTACAGTTTTGACACGGAGAAGACACACAGTGAATACATAAACAATGCCATCACATAGTTAGTTCAAACAAACAGGCCAAAAAAACTTTCACATAAGAGTGATTATGCATGACACGAGTATGATCTTTCCACACTGTACTTAAATCTTCCAAACATTTACCGTCATAATCCACACCACAGAACTATACTAAATATGTAGTTTTCCCCCTTGGGCCATTCCATGCTCCTTGGCCCTCAGTCTGTGGCCCTGAGACTAATTTCCAGTCTCAACAGACAGAAAATTTGCCCACTCCAATTCTCCAGTAAAGGAAGGGATATGTTTTGAAGTTTCAGCTAACCATAGCAGCAGATTTCAAGAATGCTTGTAGGCATGTATGCAAAATGAGCTTTCCAAGCTCCAAAGTACCAAACCTATTATGAATCAAACAAACATTTCCTCCAAATTGTAACCCTAATTTGTACTCTAATACCTCTTACACTAGCCTCTGGAATAGCTCTCATAATTTTCACAGCCCTCTCTCACCTTTATAAAGAGCTCCAGGTGGAAGTAACATCTGTGCTAAATTCTCCTGAGAGTCAAATTCAACTCCTAGTGACTTGATGGGCGCACCCATACAGTTTTAAGGCAGCAGGACAGAAGTTATTTGGTCTTGTTTTCTTCCGGGACACACTTCCCAGTTTAGCCTCTACTCCTGGAATTTCCTAAAGGTCTCTCATCTAAAAACTCACTAAACCTGATCCTGGTGAGCCTTCTGGAATCAACCAAGGTTGGCTAGATGTTGCCCCTTGCTAAGATTATACTACCATGGGTTGTCTTAAGTAATCCAATAGAAGAGTAGGTATAAAATAAGGAGGAAAAGAAGGGGAAGAGGAAGAAAATACTTTCTAGGAACAGTACTAACTGCCCAGTTGTAAACTTGAGGAGAAAGAACAGGAGCCTTGGAGAGAAAAATCCCTGGGACCTGTTATTTTGTTTATTTATAAATATTGTAAACAAACAAATAAATACATTTTCCCAGTCAGGACTGGGATGGTACATATATGGAATGAAGCTGGTGAGGGAGCTGGAATCAGCAGTTCCCAGGCTGGATAGAATCGTTATGTCAATACTGAGTAGACATCTTCTACTCTCAAGGCCATAAGGAGAAAGGCTTAATTTCCATTGACTCAAAAAAGGCAGGAGAAAAAGGCCTAGAATTTAAACCCTGGAGCACAGACATATATGTGTGCTTTGATTTCTGTATTCTGCAGCAGGCAGCTCTTCTGCACATACGTAGCTTCTGTCTTGTCAACAATAAGTAACTAACTGCTGTGCCTCTGAATTTCTGCAGTAAACAAGGTATTGGCTGGAGGGCTAAGATTTATTACCATGGCTATTGTGAAGCTGGCCAGGACATGAACCAGAATATATGCAGCAATAATCTAACTTATTTTTTGAGTTTTGTAGAAAAATCCATTTTAACCATGCTTATTTCAAATTGAGATATGGTGATCTTGCTGGTCACTAATTTCAGACCTGCCCTAGTTGGGCTGGTGCTGTTCTTTGATGGGATGTTTTGCATCAAAAGAGCTTAAAAATAAGACCAGGAGGAAATTATGCACAGCTGCACGGACATTTAAATGACCAAACAGCCACTGCAAGACTTTATGCATCTATGAAGGCAAAATTATGCACGATAAGAAACAATAAATAAAAAAGCTGATTCGTGTCAAGTTATCTTCCAAATTGTGTCAGTATGGGTCATCATGATGTCGTTAGACATCACTTATTTTGTCCCCATCTGTTGGTAAGATGAAGTGGGGATAAATAACAGCACAGTGTAACGATGTCAGGAGATGGAGTAGCTGTAATATATTTTACAGAGAGGGAAGAAAGGAAAAATGGAGGATTTGACACAAGGCTGATATTTATTGTGGCAGCTCCATGTTTCTCAGAATGTGTAGATCTGTCCTCAGATAACAACAGATATTGATGGTACTTTTTTTTTTTTATTTATACTTTCAGGAGGTTGTGAACTGGAGGGGAAAAATGTCCAAATAAGTGTAAAAGAACTACAAGATCTCACAGGAATCATCATTTAGGAACACTACAGCTCACAGATCCTATTCCCATGTAATTGCAGAGTTTATAAGAAAGAAAAGTCTTAATACAAATTCATCAAATTGCAGTTCTTAAAAAAGTCTATGAGTTAATTGGGGGTCTCTCTGAGTTCGGTAGCAGATTACTAAAGTGATTTCCACAAGTGTAGGTAGGTTAAATGTGAAAAAAAGAGACAGCCTTTCAGACAAGATGGATTCCTCCAGAAAACAACCATTTTGGGTTGTCTGCGGTGTCCTTTGAAAGTCCTGATAGCCTGTTAGAAGGAAAGGAAATGCCATTCTAAACCATGGCCTCAGGCATATAGAAGATGTGAATTAATGTAACAGCGTCTCTGCAAAATGTCTGCCTTTCGCTTAGACAAGCGTCTGTGGGAGGCTGGGGGGGCTGGAACAGCAAAGGTTTTCACCAAATTAAATTTTACACTAGGTTTTTGCAACCTCTGCATAAATTTTTGCATCCTGATAGTTTAAAGATATTTCATAGTGATTTCAAAGTCTTTGATAGAGGTCACTATTTAAAATGTCATTATAGGCTCCAATCATGCATACCTTACATTTTTTCCCCCTGATTCTCTTAAGTGTATTGCCAGCATAGCGTTAAAGACAGAGCTGCAATCTAGGACCTCAGCTGTAGCTTGAACTCATGAGCTAGTCCTTAAGGACATCGTGATGTTCTTTGCTGTAGCTTGTTCTGCAGCGTGGATATGATCATATTGCCTTACGATGAAGGACTTTAGAAGAGGCCCTAAGGATATGTGAGAAAAACGAAAGCTCCTTTCTAAGGCACTTAGACTCACCTACAGTGGGGTGAGAAAGATGAAAGGGACCAGAGAAACATGTGGTTTGGAAACGGAGGGATACGAAGAAGGAACAGGAAGAGCAGGTGGCAATCGTGGCTTTGTACACCTTTGGGTTGTGTTCCAGTTGCACCCATTCCTGGACCAGGAGACCCTACGCACTTTCACTCATGCCCTTGTGACCTTCCATTTGGGCTACTGTAATGTGCTGTATATGGGGATGCCCTTGAAGAGCATTTGGAAACTTCAGCTGGTGCAGAATGTGGCAGCACAAGTAGTAAATGATGCTAGTTACTCGGCACATGTAACTCCACTACTCCGTGAGCTGCACCGGTTGCCAGTGTGCTTCTGGGTGCAATTCAAGGCATTGGTTGTCACTTTTAAAGCTTGGGACCGGGTCACCTGAGTTCCCATCTGATCTGGTCCGGCAGCATACATGTATTCTGGACCCATTGGCCAAGGAATGCCAACTGGTGGGGCCCTTTTATGATGTAGCACCTGCCCTATGGAACATTCCCCCTCTGGAGATCAGGATGGCCCCATTCCTGCTGGCCTTTCACAAGGCCCTAAAAACCTGGTTCTGTGCCCAGGCCTGGGACCCTGATTGTGTGAAGGTTCTGACTCCTGGCTTTGCTAGCGATTGTCAATTGTGATATCTTCCTCGGCTTCTGTATATTTTAATTTTTGTATTTGTGATGGGAATTGTTTACATTTATTTTAAAATAATTTGCCACCCAGAATCACTTGTTGAGATGGGCGGCCATACAAATTGAATTAAATAAATAAGAAGTAGCTGGAGTATAAGGAATGGTGAAGGCTGTGTGATGCAAGCAAGGAAGAGATAACTGGGCCACTAAGGAACAAAAAGCTGGAAAAGCAAAAGTCACAAGAAATTATCTACAATTAGAGAACACATTATTCAGAGCTGACCCAAAGGGATGGCCTTCTCTTCATGGGGGGCATGTCCTCAGAGCAAAGACAACATAGCTAGTGTGCTGCAGTGATGAATGCATTGGACTAGGACTGGAAAGACCCAGGTTCATGTTTATCCTCAGCCACAGAAGCTCCCTGGATGACTCTGGACCAGTCACTCTCTCTCAACTTCAAAGGATTGTTGGGGAAAGAACTGGAGGAAAAAAGGTTTTGTACACTGTGCCATGCGTTCCTAGGTGGAACGAAAAGCTGACGAATTAATCAATCCATCCATAGTGTGACCTGGTAATAAAGAAATATTGTGAGGACCTCATTTTTCTCTGAAGATGCCTGTAGATGATGCTACTGGCAACAATTAGCCTACGTGAGCTGTAGGATGCAGCTTCCACTAAAATGTTTCAGACAAGAGACTCACAAGGACGTGATATGGTGAAATCTGCCATGTTATCAAAGAGGATATAGTTATCCTCTTAGGCCATAGCAACCATTGCTGAAATATATCATTTTTATAGCTGCAACTGCTCCCCAAGAATTTGGGAGTTACTGGTTTTAGATAAATATTTGTTAGATTTGTATCTCACTTTTCCTCCAGGACCTCAAGGCAGTACATACAGTGCTGTCTCCTCCCATTTTACCACACAATTTAACAAGCTTGTAATGTAGGCTGGGCTGAGAGAAAGTAAACTGTCCCCAGTAGACTTCCCCAGTTTCCCTGGAGAATTGTGCTTTTGACATGACATTAAGGTAATGTTCAGTAGCTGAGGCTTAAATATTTCTGAGCCTTTTCCCCACTCTCTTGTAAATATCTGATTTTTGTAAATACAAAAGAGAAAGGAGAGGGAGAGGCCACTGTGATGTAGTGAGCAATCTGGCCAAGGAGTGTTAATTTCATTTCAGGTAAATTTAATTATAAATTTCAGGGCAGAATCTTTGCAAAGTAGCTACCGTATTTTTCCGACAATAAGTC